CTTCCTTCCTTCCTTCCTTCCTTCCTTCCTTTCGTCATATTTTTTTTGGTCATATTCTTACTTTTAAATTGGGTTATTTAAGATACCTTTCTATATTATGTGATATGTTTGAACTTCTCTGTTTTGACATGCAAACATTATCTCCTCTCTCTTTTGCAGTTGTTGACAAGCTTAGAGAAATGATGGAAGAAGCTGAAATGGCAATAAGTGCTTTTAAAGAAGAGCAACGACAAATGTATTCATGTTTTTTTTTTAATTAAAATACACATATCTTGCTTTTCCCTGACCATAATTTAATTAATAGGAAAATTTAAAATATTAACCAGAATACATTTATTTAATATTTAAAAAGTGAATAAAAAAAGTAAAGAATACAGATACAAAATCTTACTTTATTAAAAGTTTCCAGTAAACCAATATTTCAGTGTAAAATACTTATAACACAAAGGCCTTTTAACAGTGTTACGGAAAGCCATTGAAGAAAGAACTACAAGCAATAGTGTGCAGAAAGTAAGTTCTAAACCTGCAGACATTATGTCTTGTAGTAATTTTTAACCTACCCTCACTCTTAGTATTTTATGTAAAATCCATATTTTAAATATTCACTTTATTTTCAAAAGCTAAGTTTATGTAACAAGGATACATTTAGTAATATTGTATATATTCATAGCCCGTAAGTCAGTAAATTGCATTTTTAAAGACATGAAATATTCTCTTATTTTACCATCTTTATGGGAAGTCAAGGATTACATTTCTTGTTAGCCACTAGGTTATTTTTCATGTTTCAAATCATAAATTTCCATGAGTGTTCCATTTAAATAGAAATGCAGCATATAAATTCAATAATTAATAAAATTAAGATGTGCGGCTGGATTGTAGAATGAAGCAGCAGCATCTCCACTGTTTCCAGAAGCACATCAGACAGAGGGGGCACTGGGGTGGGGGTGATTTACCTTTTTCTTCCTCTTCCATTTTTTTATTTTAGGAAAGAAAATTCCTATCCTCAAGTGGGAAGGAGGGAAGTTAACAATGCATATGGAAGACACTCTCTTTGCCAAATAACTATAGTAGCAGTTCACATATGGAGCTTCTCTTACACAGTCATTGAGTTGCCTGTTGGCGAACTCCTCTCTACCACTCAAGCCATTCAAATGGGGTTATAAGACTGCTTTTCAGCTGATTGAGCAGTTCTTCCAAGAAAGTTTGGTGTCATTAATTATTTTTGTTATGAACTTGACTGGCAGCCATGGCAAAACTACAGTGGTACCTCAATTCACGAACTTAATTCGTTCCGCGACTCTGGTCACGACCCAAATTGGTCGCAACCCGAATCAAATTTTCCCATAAGGTTCAATGTAATTATGGTTAATCCGTTCTGAACCATATGT